ACAACTAATCTCCATACACTGAAAACCAAATAACTAATATCTATCACCGAACTAATAATTATATTGAAAATATAATAACAAAAAGAAAGAGATATTATATCTAGAATCCAAATACTTTATTTAGGGGGTCCATTTTTTTTAGAAATCAAATATTTTATTTAACGAGCTCAATATATAATGAGTATATGGTATACAGACGCAATTCAAAATCAAAATGGTGTGGTTGTTTATAAATGATTTTATTACCAAATACCTTAAATCTGGTTTTGTTTTCTGTTATTCCAACTAACTTGGTATTATTGTTTGCATAAAAAAACTGTATTATTGCCAAAATCTAAACCATCTTTCAAATCCTTTATTAATATTTTCTTTTCTCTCCTAATACGCTGCCCATTGGTTGGACTTCCGAAAATTGAGCTGCAAATCGTGATTGAACAACCGAAAATTGATCAATTTTTATAATTCATGAGTGGGGCATCCTAATTGGACTACCAAACTTGAGCAGCAAATCTTTGGTAGTCGTATTTTCATGATAATGTCTTGCCTCTTGGACGGCGGTGATCGGGTGTGCTTTTCAAACTTTGAAATGCATTGTTAAAGCTATAACATAAAAATAAAAAATAAATAAAAATACTTAATTAGGTTGAAAATATAAAGTGATGGTTGGATTACGATTTTATAAAAGCAAACAACAATTATTATTCTTAACAACTTCTAACCCATAGTCCGCCCTTTGTTTGTGCTACCTGATTTCTCAGCTTTACTTCCCATTGTAATTCGCATAGATTAAAAGTCTTAATAGTTGTCGCGACAGGAAGTAATAAAGTTCAAAACCCACTTAACAAACGCATTTCTTTGGTTAATTAAAGTGATTAAGAGAGACAGTTGATCTCTTTTTAAATTTGTATTTGATTGAAGCAATTAATTAGTACGTAACAAGGCTGAGTAAGTAGGCGATGGTGATGGGCCGCTTCATTCACTGGCTCCCAGATTTGAATCAAGAGAAGTTAGTGACACCTCACTGTGGCATATAGCTGCACTGATCCTCTCTGGGGTTGATGGCTTCCTATTAGAAGCCTAGGTAGGTCGGTCAATATCAAAGAAACAACCGTATTTTACGGGGTAATTTTCATTGTATTACTTCATTGAAATATATACATATACAATCCTTTGTTCCATAAGGAAACAAATAAAGGACACAAACAATATCCTACCTAATAAGGACTCCTAGTATTTACAATATTTTACTTTCCTTTTTTTCCCTAAATACCGACTCACGTTTAAACTCCCCCTCAAGTTGGTACAAAGATATCACACATGCTCAATTTGACTAGTGAGTCATCAAACTTCTGACTACACAACGCATGAGTAGGAATATCTGCAAGTTGCTCATCCAAGTTCACAAACGGTATTGACACAATCTTCTTCTTAAGCTTCTCTTTAATAAAATGTTGATCAACCTCTACATGTTTTGTCCTATCATGCTACACTGGATTATCAGCTATATATATCTCTCGCGGACTTGTTATCACAATATAGTTTCATAGTCTCATTCAACTTAAACCCAAGACCCCCAAAGAAGTTTCCGAAGCCAAAGAATCTCACAAATGTCGTGAGCCATGCCCCTTTTGTTTCTTATTTCACCATGTAACCAGATTTCCTCCTACAAAGGTGAAATACCAGAAGTAAACTGCTTATCACTTACATTACTTGCCCAATCAGCATCTGTGAATCCCTCAATCTTCAAATGCTCGTGCTTCTCATACAAAACTCCTTTCCCTAGCCCAAACTTCAAATATGCTAGGATACGCATATGATCTACGCTCGGTGAATGCATAAACTGACTCACTACACTCATAGTATAGGCAATATCCGGACATGTATGAGCTAAATAAATTAGTCTTCCTACAAGTCTCTAATAACTACCCTTATCAACTGATTTCTGATTTAGATCCAAACATAAATGATGCTTTTCAACAATTGGAGTGTCTACCGGCTTACACCCTAGCATACCAATTTCTTTTGAGAGATTATATTCACACACCCCAAATTACTTCTCCCACACCTTTTTAATTTTTTAATATTTTCTACACACCACTAACACTTGATAGAAAAATATTAAAAAATTAAAAGGGTGTGGGAGAAGTAATTTGAAGTGTGTGATTATAATCTCCCTTTCTTTTAATAAATCCAGGACATATTTACGTTGAGACAAGACGATACCTTCAGAAGAGCGAGCAACTTCAACCCCAAGAAAGTACTTAAAATCTCCTAGGTTCTTCATTTTGAACTCAGTTGCAAGATTTTCCTACAACTTCGAAATTTCATCAAAATCATCCCTGGTTATAATCATGTCATCTACATGGATGATTAAGGTTGTCACCTTATTTTGTTTCCATTTCACAAACAACGTGTGATCAGAATGACTATGACAATACCCATTCTTTTTCATAACCTAAGTAAACCTATCAAACCACGCACGAGGCGATTGGTTAAGTCCATAAAGTGACTTACGCAACCGACATACTCCGGTATTTCCATCAGCACTCTACCCGGGAGGAAATCCATATATACTTCTTCCTCCAAATTCCCATGGAGAAAAGCATTCTTTACATCGAACTGTTTTAATGGCTAGTCCATATTGGCAGCTAAAGAAATCAGAACACGTATCGTATTCATCTTGGCAACTGGAGAGAACGTTTCCTAGTAATCTACACCATATGTCTGGGTGTATCCTTTAGTTACCAACCTTGCTTAGTACCTATCAATTGATACATCAACTTTGTATTTAACTGTAAATACCCACTAGCATCCAACCATCTTTTTTCCTTTGGGTAACACGGTCCCCTCCCATGTATTATTTTTCTGCAACGCCAACATTTCCTCATCCATTGCTTTTGCCCACTTTGAATCCTTTATAGCTTCCTCCACATGGGTTGGTACTCAAACTAACTCCATATTGTCCACCAAAGTTCGGCACTCCGGTGCAAGACCATTGGATGAGACATAGTTGGCCATTGGATACTTCACCTTCCTTTTCGAAGAAAACCTGTCAGGTGGCACACATCGATTGTGTCTCGGTGGCAACTGATATGCACTTACATTATTATTTGGATTAGTTACATAATCATCAACAACATTTACCTCAGGTATATTTAGAAAAGACATATTGGGCGACACTAGGGAACTAGAGAGAGAGGTTATATCCATGGTGACATACATATGTCGGGTCTCATGGTGATAACATTTATATCCTTTTTGTTGAGGCAAAAAACCCACAAACACACACCATAGGGCACACGGATCCAACTTAGTGCGATGAATTTTCTGAATGTGCACATAAGCCACACACCCAAATATTCGAGGAGTGAGAGTATTAGTAGACACCACTAGAACATGTTGAGTGAGGACTTGGAGAGGTGTTCGAAATTCGAGAACCTGAGACGACATACGGTTAATCACATATACTGCATAAGTGATAACTTCAGGCCAAAACACCTTAGGAACAGAGGCTCCAAGAAGTAGAGCACATGCCATTTCTAAGATATGGCGATTTTTCCTCTCAGCAACCCTATTTTGTTGTGGGGTATGAGGATAGGTCATTTCATGGAGAATGCCTCGATCACAAAGAAACTCTGACAATGCTAAATTAATATACTCACCACCATTATCTGAGCATAAAACTTTAATCACAGACGAATATTGTGTCTGGATCATCTGAGAGAAAGATCTAAATACCATACCAACATCACTTTTAACACATATAGCCAGGTCATACAATGTAACAAACCATTTAATGCTAGAAGAAGTAACAACTGGAGAAGGCCCCCAAACATCCGAGTGTACAAGTTCAAAGGGCAAAGACCTTTTATTTAGACTAGGAGGAAACGAAGCACGATGGCTTTTAGCAAGAAAACATACTTCACAATGTAAGTTTCATTCATTTATTCCACTAAATAGACTAGGCAACATATGCCGTAAATACCCAAAAGATGCATGCCCTAACTGATGATGCAATAACCATACTTCTTGTAAATTACTAGCACGAGACACTCGAACCGCATTAGCTTTACTAGGAACGATGTCATCCACATAGTACAACTCCTCTTTCTTAGTTCCACGTCCAATTATCTCCTTGGTCTAAATATCCTGAAGTAGACAAAAGGACGGATACAGTAGAACAACACAATCCCATTGTTTAGTAACTTGTGTTATTGATAATAAATGATGGGAGAAAGAGGGAACAAGCAAGCAACGATGCAAAGGGAGAGATGAGGTGAGATGCACGGTGCCTGCGTCACACACGGGTGCAAGGGTACCGTTGGCAGTTGCTATGATTTTCTTGTGAGTTGTGGTCATATATTGAAACATATTTTTATCATACATTATGTGATCTGTTGCACCAGAATCCAACATGTATGTTGCTCAGTTTTGGAGGCTAAAAGAACACGTCTCGTAGTACCAGACAAGTCACCCTGAGTAGTACAAGTCAACAAAGTTTGACTACGATCACTAGAACTAGGCTTGGCTCCTTTGGCTGTTGGTGTAGCAGCGGCAAGAACAACCTCCACTGGTTCCTGCTGTTCCACGTTCCTTGGCACGTAACTTCTTCTTATATTCTGGAAACCACTCAGGCACCCTATGCTTGGTGAAACAGTGAAACATGTTTCTTTAGTATGACGAGTCTCACAATAGAAGGTACACTTCAAATCATCTTTATTTTCTCAGGAAAAAGGACGAGAATTTAAAGATTGATTAGAAGCATTAGTAGGATGGATGGGTGCAGGTGGCCAAGAGACCATGGCCACGGACGACAACCCTTATTGGTTGTTACTCCTACTCATCATAGTGGCATGTAGGTGTGTTTCACGCCTAACAACAGAAAACACCCCCTCAATAGATGGTAAGGGTTGAGTACATAAAATATCATTACGTACTTTATCAAATATTTCATCCAAACCTACCAAAAAAGTATACACACAATCGATTGCAATCTCTTCCTAAATTGTCTTGAGATCTGTAGCACATCCCATCTTAATTGGTCTCCATTGATCTAACTCTTGCCACACGGACTTGAGGTCAGCGTAATACACACCAACCGACCAGCCTTCTTGACGAAGTCTGAATGATTTGACCTTTAATTCATAAATTTGAGAAATATCCGAACCATCATAATAGGTCCAAGCCAGCTTTTCCCAAACTTCTTTAACTGTACACAGGTGAATAAAAAATCCCATAATAACAGGTTCCATGGAATTGATCAACCACCCTTTTACTATTGCATTCCCTATCTCCCATATCTCATATTTAGCATTATCCTTAGCAAGTTCCTTGGTGCTCCCTGTCACGAAGCCCTTTTTACCATGTCTAGCAATGTGCATCTCCAATACCTTGGACCAAATAAGATAATTTGATCCATTAAACTTCACGGTGCTTGATACAGCCGATGCATCGTTCTGAATCACAATGAGACTCACTACCGGGTTGTTGGTTGGTGTGCGGAAACCACCTTCCAACTTCAAGGTTGAGTCATCTCTTATATTTGCCATCGCGACTTATAGAGAAGAAGGAAAGAATCACAAAACCTAAGTTGTGCAATAAAACCTTCACGGCAGCAGTAAGACACTGCTCTGCAATACCAGGATACATAGCCTGACATATTTATGCAACAACAGCGCATGAACCAAGTTGACTGAACACAGCAGCGGAAGAAAAATTTTGTTTTATAGTTTCTAGGATTACGTCAGCTTGGCTCTGATGCCAAATAGAATTTTACGGGGTAATTTTCACTGTATTACTTCATTGAAATATATACATATACAATCCTTGTTCCATAAGGAAACAAATAAAGGACACAAACAATATCCTACCTACTAAGGACTCCTAATATTTACAATATTTTACATTCCTTTTTTTTTCCCTAAATATCGACTCACGTTTATAGAAACAACTATGAAGTAACCCTAATATTGGCTATTATATATGAAGGTTTAACACTCTTATAAGCATTTATGGTCTTGGTTGTATATAGGTATATATAGTATATATAAATTTCCCTTCTGCTGGAAAAAAAATTCAGTGAGCAAGTTTAAATGATGTAAATTAACCATCTAGATCGGAAGATGTAAAAAAATGTAAAACTTAAAATTTATATCTATCAGTTAGACCCAAAATTACATCATCTCCTGAAAATAAACAGAATAATGCCTTTTTTACTTTTCAAATTTGCAATTTTCATTGTGATATTCCCAACGGGTGGAGACCTAGTTGGACAAATATGTTGTAAAATAAGGTTCCACTACATTTCACCATAAAAGAAAACAGAAAGTCCATTTCAATCGCATGAAGAACTGTAGACTTTGATTCTTTTGTACATATATATATAGTTATATTGTTAGTCTTTATTTAAAGATCATTCTTACAAAAAAAAAATCAAATTAAAACTATTAAACTATTTAGTTATAGCAAAAAAAAAAAAAAAAAAAAAAAAAAGAAAAGACAAACATGGAATATCTAAAAAAAAAAGAGAAAACTTGATGAGAGTCAAACTTTTTTAGGCATAATTAAGAATAATCTACTTTATTAAAATAAGTCCAATCTCTTAAGTTTAGGATTATTTCTTTAATGATAAGAATTATAACATCCTTAACGAGACTTGGGATAAGCAGGATATCGAGGGTCAGGAAGAACTTAGAGCGAGGCAGCTCTCGGAGCAGGAGGTGTTTTCAGGGTGGAGGTGGCGAGGGGGATAATGCAAGGTCTCAAATGTGGTTGGGTGGTGTTTTTCCACTAGAGGATCCCCTCTGACGGTTTGGGTCTTTCTCAAATGATGTGGTGCGTGAGGGTGGTGCGTTACTTGTGGCAGTTCCTAACTTGAGGGGGCTCGTTACCTTGGAGTTAGGGGAACGGTTGGTAGCGGGCAATAAAAGGTGCAGAGATAGAGATTCTCATGCTAGAGACGAGGTTTCTATTGGTTCTAAGAAGAGGTGCTCTAGTTCATCGGTGGGAGTTGTCGGCTAACAACCCCACCATTCACAATGAATTGCCTAAGTTGGAACTGTCGGGGGTTGGGGGACTCTCGTGCAGTTCAAGCGTTGCTAGAAATTATCCAGTGACAACATCCTTTTTTGGTCTTCCTTTGTGAAACCAAATGTAGTTATCAAGCTATGGAGATTAAGAGAGGTGGATTGGGGTTCCAAAATTCAGTTATGGTGGCAAGTAACGGAAGGTCAGGGGATCTGTGCTTGCTTTGGAAGGAGGAAGTTGAGTTAGTGGTTCAGTCTTCATCCCCGAATCATATTGATGCTGAGTGTAGGTTTGGAGGAGCCTCGGATTAGTGGCGGTTTACGGGGTTCTACAGGTATCCTAATATTGTTGATTGCCATCTGTCCTGGGCATTATTGGCTACATTAAGTCAACAATACTCACTCCGATCATTGTGTGTGGGAGGTTTTAATGAGGTGCTCAGTGCTTTGGAGCAGCTTGGAGGGGCGGGATGGAAGGAGAGTCAAATGCATGGTTTTCGTGAAGTGGTGCATGAGTTCCAATTGGTAGATGTAAGGTTTGTTGGTAGTGATTACACGTGGATGGATAATAGAGAGGATAAGGTGCGCTTGCCACACAATCTTGGATCAGTTTGTTTCCCTGCTCTCAGATTTGTCACCTTAATCCATCCAAATCGGATCATTTACCTATTGTGGTGGGGATTCAAGACTCGGTGGGTGGTGTTTCTCGGAAGCCTAGTCGATTCCGCTTTGAGGAGATATGGTTGCTTAAAGCTAGTTATGAGGAAACTATAGCAACTATGTGGAATATGCTGCGAAGGGGGACGGCTTTAGTGCGGGTTTGTGACAAGATTAGAGCCACTAGGGTGGCTTTGCTCGAATAGCAGCGCTCTACTTTTGGGAATACTAAATTGGAGATTGCGAAGGTAAGGGACAAACTAGGCGTGTTATTCGAACATCCTTCATCTCTGAACCTTATTGAAGGTTGAGGAGTGTTAATGCATGAGCTTGATACTTTGCTTGGCTGAGAAGAAACGTATAGGAGACAGAAGGCGCGGACCCAGTGGCTCAAGGAAGGGGATCGAAATATGAAGGTTTTCCATACTCGTGCTTCGAATAAACAAAGGAAGAATACAATAAAAGGGTTACGGGGGGAGTAAGGGGTGTGGTATGATTCACGGGAAGGGATAAAGGACATGGTGGTGAGCTACTTTCAAAGGATTGTTAAGATGCAAGGAGTTCTTAATAATGCGTTGCAGGAGGTACTGGGGGCAGTTTCACGTCGTGTTACCCCAGAGATGAATAATCTGTTGTTATAGCCATATTTCGCTGAGGAGATTAGAATGGTGGTGTTCCAAATGCACCCATCCAAATCTCCAGGGCCAGATGGTATGTCCCCACTCTTTTATCAACAATTTTGGCATGTGGTTGGGTTGGATGTTGTCGAGGCGGTTAGGTCTTTCTTGTAGTCTGGGTATTTTGGCAAAGAAATGTGTTTTACCCATGTGGTGTTGGTTCCTAAAGTTAATGAGCCACATGATATGTCTTAGCTACGCCCTATTAGTTTGTGTAACATGCTTTATAAAATTGGAGCTAAAGTGATTGCAATCGCCTTAAGGGTATGATGGTAACGATTATCTCGCCAAATCAAAGTACTTTTATGCCAAGGAGGCTTATCTCTGATAACTTTTTGGTGGCGGTGGAAATTGGGCACTTTTTGCATAATAAGATAAATGGTCGGGATGGCTTCTTTGCTCTTAAACTTGATCTTAGTAAAGCATATGATCGAGTTGAATGGAGATTCCTGGAGGTTATGATGGAGAAGTTGGGATTTGCTGGCGAATGGATTAAGATAGGGATGACTTGTGTTACATCTTTGTCATACTTCTTCTTGGTCAATGGTTAGCCATGTGGTTATATATTGCCGACCCGGGGACTCCAGCAAGGAGATCCATTGTCGCCATATTTATTCCTATTGTGTGTTGAAGGTTTATCGGTGCTTATTGCCAAAGAGGAGCAAGATGGGGCTTTGAGTGGCATTCAGTTGTGTGGTGATGCTCATTCAATTCATCACCTTCTATTTGCGGATGATAGTTTCCTTTTGGAAAAGAAAATGTGGATGAATGTGTGGTGATTCAACGGATCCTTAATATCTACTCTCATGTGAGTTCATTTGATCAAGGAATGTTAGCAGGCTTTTTGGGGGTTCAGTTGGTGGAGCGGTATGAGAGATACCTAGGTTTGTTGACTTGTGTGGGGAAGGATAAAAAGTAAACGTTTTCGTATATTAAGGAGAGAGTGTCACAACGCTTGAATAGGTGGAAAAGCAAGCTTCTAAGCCATGCAGGGAAGGAACTTCTTACAAAGGTGGTTGCCTAATTTCTTCCTACGTATGCCATGAATTGTTTTCTACTCTCGAAGACTTTTTGTGATAAGTTGCATCAACTTATGGCAAGGTTTTGGTGGGGGAATGGATCAGAAGATAGAAAAATTCATTGGCGTTCTTGGGATAAGACGTGTAAACCTAAAGGTGAATGTGGGTTAGGCTTCCATGACCTCTATGCGTTTAATATGGCGGTGTTGGCAAAGCCAGGGTGGATGGTCATTCACCATCCCTCGTCACTAATAGCACAAATCTTTAAGGCAAGGTACTTCCCGATTTCTTCATTTTGGGAACCGAAGGCACCCCCATCGTTGTCGCATTGCTGGGAGAGCATTGTTAGGGCTTGAGAAGTGTTGGTAAAGGGTTCGAGGTAGGTGGTAGGAGACGGGCGGCAGATTCAGGTTTGGATGGATAGGTGGTTGCCAAGACCTAGCACTTTCAAGGTCCTCTAAATGCCTCATCCTGAGCAGGTTCATATGAAAGTTGAAGAGTTGATTGATACTTCCACAAGGGCGTGGCGTACCAATTTGCTATCGGAATTATTTAGCCCGGAAGAGGTATCTCTCATTCTTTCTATCCCGCTTAGCTTTCGTGCTCGGCAGACAGGTTAGTTTGGCACTATGGTGAACAGGGACGTTTTTCCATCAAGAGTGGGTATTGGGTGGCTCAGCAATGGCTCCAGTCTACAGATAGTAATGCTTCCTCTTCTTCCAATGCTAGTGCTTATGCGAAACTATGGAAGCATATTTGGAAGGCTAATATCCCACCTAAAGTGAAAAACTTCACTTGGAGGGTGTGCCATAACATTCTTCCCACTAAAGTGAATCTTACGAAGAAAGGTGTGAGGGTGGAGTCGGAGTGTGGGATATGTCAGGGAGAGGAGGAGATTGCGGAACATGTCCTTTTTACTTGTTCATTTTCCAGAGCAGTATGGATGTTGGAGATGCTTGAACGATGGTGTTGTGGGGTATTTGGCTGGAAAGGAATGCACCGGTGTGAAAGGAATCCAACGTCCCACCCATGGTTGTTTAGCAGCAGGTGTCATCATAGTTGTTGGTGTTTTAGGAGGCTAATACGAAAACAACTAGGACGGGTGGTCTCCCTTCCCCATGGTCGGCTCCCCTTTCCCAATGGTGGGTCAAGCTTAACACTGACGGGGCAC